AACAAATATCCAATCACTAACACACCTCCTCTCAGTCCTCGCACCAGTCATCACCCGCACATACGCCAGTAGCGCCGCACCAGGCCAATCATCCAACGTCTCAAACCCCCAAGCAAGCAGCGCCGAGAGCCAGTCCATCAACAAGAGCGCCTCAGTCGGCCAGACCGACAAGAACGATGGCGACCACGCATCAGTACAAAACCCGGTCAGCCATCCAGAACAAGACCGAGCAGGCGCGACGGAAGAGACAACGGAGAGTCAGGACAACATGAAGCATGACCCGAAGGAGTCGGATGCGAAGAAGAGGGAGAAGACGCTGAACTATGGGCAGAATAAGCCTTTGGATGCGGCTGATAAGTAGAGCTTGGCAAAAAAAAAAAATGGCTATTTGGCGAGCCTATGTAGGGTTGGCAAAGAACGCTACGAATGCTGCCGATGCGATCTTGACCCCAAACCAGGCGTGACGATGATGCCTATATGTTGTAAAAAGAAGCACACGGACCGTGTTTATTCATAATGGAGCCACTGCTGTTTCATCAATTCCGATGTACGAGAGGTCGAACATCCAATACCGGCCAGTGCTGTTCGTCGACGGAAAACCAGATCGATATGATGACAGCCGAAATAGGTTCGTCAGCAGATAGTTATAGAGCGCTGCCCACCAGCGAAACACGACTCCCATTCTATCCCCTTGATGTCGAAACTTCCCGAGAAATGCCCTAATCTCTCGTATACCTTGATTCCATAAGAATTAGTTTCCTTCAACAGCAAGCCTTCTGCCCAATTGTTTAGATAACCCCCACGGCCAAGTACTGCAAGAAGATGTTCGCTTCCATGATTGAGCTCCTCATTCGGTTCATCCATAATGACACGGAGCTTTCCACAGCACTCTTCAGTCAAGATCTTGATACCTCTCACTGCTCCTGGGTTTTCCAGCGTGCATTTAAGAGGTTTGCACCAGGCCCGAATGGTCAGTAACATCAAAGTCTCCAATTGTGGTCTTCCCTGGTTTTTGCCAACTGAGAAAAGCCTGTACTCTTTCGGGATTGCTATGAACTTCAGAAGCGGTCCATCAGTCATCCGCGTTCTGAGTCGACCATTCATTGATGCCCAACTCCATGTTGGCGTGACTACCCAATTACCATCCAAACTCTGGCTGGAGAGCTTGGACAGCCTATGTGGCGGTCTCTCATCAGCACGGAACAGAGTATCAGGCCAACGATGTGCTCTCCAGTTCAGGCTTTGTGGGAGCGTTTTCCAGAAATGACCAACAAGATAGGGGTCATCGAATGCGTGGCCCATACATTTTGAAACAGCCGAAAGAGCAATCAGTTTGTCCACATGAGGATATGTGAGCTCCCTCGCACTGTACTCCACAAGGATCTTAGACCAAGCCTGCTCTAAGATCCTGCTGTCTGAGGATTGTGGAATAGAAGGTATCTGGAGACTCAGGCGTTCACCTAAAACTTCCCTCCCAGATTTAGAACAGAGTGTGAAGCCATACGGAAGGGTTTCGCTTGCATTTGGGACCTCTCGACAATCCCAGAAGAGTTCGCCACGACCGAAGCTAAGGACGCGGGTAGCTAACAGGCGTTCTTGTAGAACCCATGCGCGACTTCCGATGGGTTGTTGATAAAGTGCCTGTTCGAAGTACTTGTTTGGTATAACAGTGTAAGCAGAATTTCCGGTGATAACCCCGTGTCTATTTCGCAAGGTCATCTCAGTAGTGAAAGGTAAGATAGTTTTGCCACTGTGTCCTCTCATGCAGCTCTGATCCGGGTGAGCAGCTTGTGCTAAAGAAACGTTGATGATGCAGTTCCAGTACACTTCTTGCATCCGACCGCACTCCGATCGCCAATCCTCACTACTTCCGATACCAGACTGTATAATACAGAGAGCATCGATCCAGAGGTAACGGATCCCGAGCCCTTCTATGAAGCGAATCGCCTCTTGAAAAGCAATAGGTAAGTTATAATAGATGATTCCGAGCCGAAAATCTCCCATATTATCCGCCGTAAGCTGAATGAAGCTAGGATTCGGGCCCCAGCAGTAACTCAAAGCAGCATAGGGGCCTAGGGGTTCTTCTTCCTGCGGCAGGATGAGGCGAACTTTATGGCCGCCAAGCTCGAGAAGCCGTGTAGGATAAGCATGTGGCTGTGTATGTTTCCGGCATTGCTCATGCGTGTCTACACAAGTGCTCATCCACTTCTGCGCAGCCTGGAGGGACTCGACCATGGGTATTGTGGACTCTCTGCCGTACGTACCGGCGTATACTGGGACATTCGCTGTAGGTGCTGCCGCGAAAGGCTCCCAGTCAAGGGTTTTTCGAAAGCCGTCCGCGACGCTTTTGTTTTCCCTCACCCTCGTGGTTAAACAGCAATGGTCAAGGATATCATCTTCGGGAAAATAACCGAACAACTTGTAGAAAGAATCGCCTGAAGAGCGACCGATGACAAGTTCGGTTTCCAAACCGTCCTGCAAGCTCGTCGCCTCTTCCCTTATAGATTTCCATAGGGGGGTACAGATGTAGCACCCGTCCGTTGCTGCTTTGGTGAGGGAGGCAAGACTGTCATGATGCTCGCGGCACCAAAAGCCGCTGGAGAACGCGCGTAAACAAGCTTCGCAAAGCATTTCGTCCGCTCTTCGAAGGCAAGTAGCTGTCTCATCGATGGAACGAAGGGACCGGTATGGTGATTGACAAAGTGTGGCCAGGTGCGTTTCAGCAAAACACTGAAAGGGGGACAGTGTGGATTTTCGTTGTGCACGCTGTGGATTGAACGATCCCAGTGCAAAAGTAGAGTGCGCAGGGACGCTTTAATTCATACGTGCGGGCGAAAGCCAGTGAGAGGAGTTGTGGTATCAGTACAAGGCGCTGCCATATTGCGAGACGTTGATGCGGGGTGGCAGCTGCCTACCTACCCTTGTATACAGCTTCGAACGTCAGGCTGCATAGAGCATCTATTTGTGCCACACCTGGGCATGCATCATGACCAGGCTGTATCAAAAGTAATGCCCCAAGTCGTTGTCATCGGGTCATGACGAGATGAGCGCGAGTACAAGTAGATGACCAGGCTGAGCCTTCGTTGTCGAATCATGCGTGACAAAATTCGCCGCCCTCGTCTGTCACCTATGTTCCTGTGCTTTGTGAAGGTCGCACGCATGGCTGCAATCGCACTAGTTCGCCTTCTGGTCCAAACGGCATCGGGCTGCTCGGGGCCGTTCTCCACGCCACATCGCACTCCTCCAACTGTGTGCGCCACAACGCGCAACCGTATCCGAAAAGGCGATTACTGTTCGGAGGAAATGAAAAGCAAGGACAAAGGCAGTTTGTTTCGCAGTTTCGAAACTGTTAAACGCGGAACAGCGGACACTAGTGTTTTGGCACGGGCGATCCACCAATGAGAGAGCACGAGACCGGCTTAGCGCCTCGGCAACGTCTCCTGTCGTTCATGCTGCGGTCCCTAACCTCCACAATAGTCCTAGGCCTAACGGCGAAGATGCCTCGCTTGGGCGAAAACACCAGGAGGTTTGAAACTTTGGTGGACGCCCCGATGGAAGGATGCCCTAGGCTGTGGCATGGTGGGCACGAGGCTTCGGCCTCAGGCATAAGTACCACGAGCGCGCCACTGTTTACGGTTTCTTCATCGCGCTTCATTCTCTTACCAACTTTACGATCTTTTCAACTTCTTCTATCGTTTATTACATTCGTTACTAAGGCACAGGATGTCTCTTTACACTCTTTTTGCTGCGGGTCTGCTTGCCCAGTTCGCAAACGCGTACACCGTCATCCAGATCCCTCCCCCTTTCATGGAGAAGAACATCGACCCCATTGTCTACCCTGGCGAGTTTGACAAGTCGCATCTACACTCTTTCTACGGCTCCGACGCCGTTGTTGCCAGCACCAAGACCAGCGTTGAACTCCAGAAAGGCTGCACCACCGCCGAGAACCCTAACGACTTGTCGAGCTACTGGGTGCCCACCTTCCTATACACCAAAGATGGCAAGAATTACGAGCCCGTCCCCGTCTTCCGCTTCAGCGCATACTACAACCTCGGCGAGACCCCCGCTGAGGTCGCCATCCCGCAAGACCTGCAAATGGTTGCCGGCAAAGCCGACGCCATGACCCCAGACGCTATGGACGTCAACGCAAAGGCCTCATGGGGCTGCGAGAGCGAAGACATTCCTCTCGATGCCAACGGCTTCCCCACCAAGACCTGCTCCACCCACATCCAGCAACTCCTCTTCTTCCCCCAGTGCGTCAACGAGAAGACTCTCGAGACCGGCTACAAGAGCCGCGACAACGGAACACCCAACTGGTGCCCCAAGGGCATGAAGTCAATGCCCCAGCTCCGCTTCTCTATCCGCTACGATATGCGCAAGGCCTTGCCCAACGGCTGGTCTGGTACCACCGCGCCGTTTAAGCTGGCCTGCGGACCTGCGTGGTGCTCGCACGGTGACTTCATCAACGGTTGGGTTCCTGAGGCTGCGAAGAACATGGTTGGCACGACCAGCGAGAAGCAGCATTTTGCTGCCGTTGAGGGTCCCCTCGGCGGCCCTTCGGATGGCGCTTCTTGCAAGGCTAAGGATGCTGATCCCAGCCATGGCACGAACAACTATGCTAAGAGTGTTGCTGCTATGGCTAAGCGCAGTGTTGGCGCTTGGGGCTGGGAGACCAGGTCTAGGCTCGCTCGCTTGGTCAATGCCGCATAAGATGCGACGGACGATGGCATCGTTCCAGCCGGAAGTTGGAAAGACCTTCATGTATATATTTAAAAAGAGGATTCTGTGTGACGTCAAAGAAACGTACACTTTGTAGCAGCATTAACCAGCAATTCATTCACATATTCACATATTCACTTCAATATCCTCACCGGCTCATTCGTGACCTGATGCCTTACTTCCTACTCATTTGTCGACCGAATAACGAGAGAAAAGCCCTAGTTGAGGTATCATTTCATTTAAATTCGTTAAGAGATCATATGACCATCGTAACATATGTTCTAGTGCAGGAACTCATTGAAGAAGTTCACAGCATTCCTCTTCGCCCTCTCCAGACCATCCTTCTGCTTCTGGTCGTTGGGGTTACCACGCGCAGCAAAGCCGTGGTTCAGACCAGGGAAGTAAATGTACTCCCACTGGACACCCGTCTTCGGCAGCGTCTCCAACGTAGCCTTCTTCAGCTCCTCAGTGTACATCTGGTCGTTTTCGGGGGAAAGGACCTGGACGGGGACCTTGACGTTCTCGATCTCAGACTTCTCGAGCATGGAGGGGTGGGCGGTCGAGATGGCGTCGACGAGCGAGGGGTCCGCGCCGAGCTTGAAGACGGCCCATCCGCCGTAGCAGAAGCCGATGGCCGCGACCTTCTTGTATTGCGACTTGAGGGTCTGGGCGTGCTGCTTGATCTCAGGGTAGCGGATCTCCTTGTTGTTGCGGCCGATGAAGGCCATGACGTCGAAGTTCTTTGCCTTCTCTGGGTCGGACATCGCGTCGGGGTCTACGACTTCGCCGCCGAAACTGTGTGATGGCTGTTAGTCCCATGGTCGCATTGCGCTGAATGTATGCGTCGCGTCGCGTAGCTGCTTACACATCGGGAACGTAGACGGTCGCATTGGCCTCCTTCGCGTAGTGGTCTGCCAGGATGCGGATGTTGGGAAGAGTCCAGCCGAAGATATCGGTGATGATAAGGATAGCGGCATCCTTGTTGTCGCCGGTGACATAGCAGTCGATGTTGTCGAGCTTGGCTTCCTTGCCGACGGACTCGGCGCCCCACTTGAAGCCGGTTTTGCAGTTGTCGCAGGCCATATTGGAGTGTTGTAAGAGGAATTGATAGATGTAGAAGGAGTTTGGTGTGACGTTTGATGCTGTCTGCGAAATTTGGCGGGGTGGAAGGGCCTTAAGTCGTTCAAGCTTCAGGTGGGGTAGACTCCATCATCCAGCCGTTTTCGTGCATGAAGACACAGAAGATAACCCGGCATCTAGCCGGTTCCGTGACGAGAGCCAATCATAACGGCAGAGCGTTACACTGCATTGACTTGGTTGCCGGTGTTGTCGTGGAGAGAACGATGACGACGATAGCCGGCGCCGGAATTTGTATTTGCGTATCGCTAAACCCGAGCTTCGTTCGCCGATGTCCGCCGCAACGCTGACGAAGACGGAACACCTTTCTACATCACGGCACCCGGAAGACTTTCTATCATCCGATCTCCGACATCTCTTCAACGAATCTATCGGGTGTATATGTTGCAGTAATCACTAGAACTCTCTCCTCAACTCGTAGATATGGGGAAGATCTTTCCGGCGTGAGCGCCGCAAGGATCGTGGAAGAAAGCGCTGTAGGTGGACTTTAGGCTCCCCATGAGCAATCACGGAGATGGCTAAACAAACTCGGCTCTAACTTATGTTTAGCTTCTGGACGATTCGCCGGGGCGCCTGATGCGTCACCGTAGTTCCGTGCCAACAAGTTGATAACAAGTCCATAACTTTCCGTATATTTGGTGAACGCTACAGCTGCATTGCAACCCGCCTTAACTTCCCACCCGGACCCCAGCCTATTTCTGGACTGATTTACGATGTTCTTCGAGTATCATCGCGTCTATACGATTGCCTGGATAAAGAGGTCGATAAACTTGCACTCCGTTCGCAGTCCTCTCATAGATGGCCATGAATGTTTCGCCTAGAGCTGGAGGCTCGTACAGCTTCTTCTGCACCCATCGTGCTTTTAGTGCTTCCCAAACGTCTTTTTGAAACCAAGACACCACCCAGTGCATTGGAACGACATGAAAGGAGGCAATGAAGAGTTGTGCGTCGCTGCTCATCGTCCATGTCGCCCCGCGAAATTTTCCATGATTCACAATAGGCCAATTTCGATAGTTTCCAGAAGCATCTCGCGTGGTGAACTCGGCATTGGAACTCCCTACGAGAGACCGGAGGACTTTGCCGCGCACAGCGTTTGATGGGGCTTCGAGCAAGCGAATGGCGTGGATCTCTTGAAATCGGTCGTTTGATGCAGTTTTACCGTTGGGCACTGGAACATGGCCGAGTACACTCAGTTCCCATGAGAACCCTAGTTCTGGATTCTGTTCGTTCTCAGCCCAGAGTGGCTCGTCGCCGCTCTCTAGAAACATGTGGTAGCCATGCGTAACCTCATGACACAGCACAACGGCAAATATGAAAAGGGCTCTGTACCGTTCATTTGTACTCGCACTGGTCGACCGGAAGGCTCCGCTGAACCTCTGTGCGAGGCAGATGCAAGGGTTATGAACGCCTTTGTCAGAGAGGACAGGTGGGAAGTCAGCGTGACTGAACTCGCGATAATGAGACATCTCCTCTTTCTTGACATATGTTACCCCAGAAAATTTCTCTGTAGACTTCGGATGCGCGAATGCGAAGAAATTTGTCTTGCCAAACTCGTGCAAATTATCCTTCACGGTCTTAAGAGCTGCAGGGGTGTTGTAGTGAGGATTTCTCTCAAGGTAAACCTGCCCGGCTGCATTGCGGCGGCGGTGCCCAAAGGTTAGATGGCTGAACCAAAGCAAAGGGAGATCTTCAGTGAGCCACATTGATGCAAGCTGTAGGGCGGGTCGCATGACGTTGTAGATGTCGGAAGTATCTTGGCCTGGACCAGTGGCCCAGCGGTCCAGAGCAAACATTGGTAGCACGGGAGTTGTAAGGGACGGTGCGCAATACACTTCCGTTCCTTGATGTTGTCGTACGTGCCAGTCAAACTCGTGTCGAATAGCTTGCATAAGATCAAAGGAATCCATTGCTAAAGTTATTATCAATTTGAGTAAATGGTCGCTGGCCTTTGCTAGAGATCAGACTTCTCGTTTGGCGCTGCGGTAGTTGTAGGGTAATAGCGGAGTTGACTCTCCATTAAATAGGTAGCAGTGTGTCGAGGTGCTTAGGTTACGAAGGGGCCATTGATGTGAGCAATGTCGTGTGAAGAGGGGTCGGGTGATCACAGGAGCACAGTCGGTGGTCTGGCCGCTTGACATAATGATGGCGGCACAGATTCCAGGTCGCGATCAGTCATTTGTGGAATGCGGTATAAAGGCCAGGTTCCGAAATAGAACGTGTCGCCAGTTACGGCGTGATTACCTTGAGATTCGGTATATCGAAATGAAGAGGACACTAGAATTTTAGATATGAAAGCATCGCGGTACTAAAAGGCCTGTGATGAACATCAACACGTTTGCGGATAAGTACCTGGTGTACGTGAAGTGGCCTTGTGGCTAGTGGCGTCGCCATGTTTCCAACCTGCGCAATTCCCAGAAACGCATGAACCCTTTTATGACCGCTATGAGTATGCCGCGAGCCTAATTTCGTAGCTGTATGACATGGAATGGGAGATGGTAAGAAGGTTGATAACGGTGGTTGAGGACACAACGAGTGTTGGAAGGAACGAGCCACCCTGTCGATCCCCCATCACGTGCACGCTAGTGCCAAATGCAGCTCCAACGCATCATCATCACATCTCATGCGCTCGTCATGACAACCAAGCAGTCGACGTGACATATCGACTGAAGTGTCGCTGTGCTGGTGCGACGGAATTACTTTTCCACACAGGAAACGACAACGCGAATCCTTTATCTGCGCGATCGCGGCTATGCGATGATCCTTCAGTGCGATCGAAAACATCGGCGAAAAGAACTTGCAGCGCGATGGGTCCACGATCTCACAACTTCGCCAGGGCCGTCTCTGAAGATCGCGCAACCCATCTTTGTACCTCGGGACGCTCATGGTAATCGGCAGGGAAGAAGCGCGGCCCAAGAATCTTTTTCTGCACCTTTCCTGTTATCGTCTTCGGAAGCTCGCTGTCCACGATTCTCAATAGCGTGGGTAGCTTGTACCCAGCCAACCTCTCACGTAGATCTCGCCGCAAGTCGTCGATGGTCAACACGTGTCGGGAGGTGTTGTTTCTCGAGGATGCGGAAGGCGTTGCCTCATTCTGCAGCGAGACCAGTGCAGCGACGCGTTGCCCGTACTCCTCATCTGGTACACCAACCACCATGGCTTCGGCTACATATGGCAGACTCAGCAGTTCGCGCTCGACGTCCAGAGCCGAGATCTTGTACCCGCCTGACTTGATGATGTCTAGAGACGCCCGACCGATAACGAAGTAATATTTACCCTCTCGTCGTGCAATGTCGCCGCTTCGGAAGTATCCATCTCCATCATGAGCTTTTGCAGTTCCTTCAGGATCACGCAGGTACTTTGAGAACATATGCTACACTTGCTTAGCGCAACCTAGCAACCCGACTCATGTAAGACTTACTGGGCTTTTCACAAGCACCTCTCCTTCGTCTCCGGATAGCTTGACATCAACGCCACTGGAGAGTTCACCAACTGAGCCTTCTGGAACGCTGCCGTCGCCAAGGCGCATCTTGAAGATAGCCCCAAACTCAGTGGCTCCGTATCTTTGCAGGATCGGCTTTTGCATCAGATCTTTCCAGAAGTCATCAAGCGGCTGCGGTAGTGCTGATGTGCCGCATAAGCAGGCTCGAAACTGTCTCGCTCCCGCGACGTACTTCGCTATCTCATCTGCAGGTAGCTTGCTTATTCGTTGTTGATAGTACCGTCTCATCCTCATGTATATAGTGGGTACACCAGAGAAGACAGTCAGTCGTCGTTTGGTGTCGGACGCGCCCTGTTTCCATCGCTCCCACGTTTGCTCTTCGTCAAAGCCTCCGCTGCGAAACTCGATCCGGCTACCAGCTACGAGAGACGGAAAGAAGTTGATGCCAACACCGGTAGCATGGTGTACCGGAAGAACGTGGAGAGCGACATCATCTTCCGTTAGCTGGTAATGATCTGCCACTTCGAGTGCACAATCAAAGATGAAAGATCTTCGCATAACTGCACCCTTAGGTGGCCCAGTAGTCCCGCTGGTGAAGATGACCACAGCGGGCGCGTTCTCATCCAAAGTACGATCAGAAGAGATGATGATGTCTCCAGCATAGAGGGTAGGATTCGAAGTCGTTGGCTGAATGCTTACGGCTTGGAAGCTCTTGTTACTCATCGATGCAATCCGGGTTTCCAGGTCGCGACATTTGCTCACATTCGACGAGCTAGCAAGAACTAGTACTGCCCTTGATTTCTCGATGAAGTAGACTGCCTCTTCTACGGGTAGAGCTGGAGTCAGTGGCACTACAGCAGCTCCAAGAGCAAGTATCGCCAACACTGCTATCGCGTATTCATAGCCTCCAGGTGCTATTATGGCGATGTATACCTCTTCTCGTCTTTCGAGTGCTTCACGAGTCGCACTCGTCAACGTGCCGAGAAGCCTTTCCCTCAGGGCTAGCACATCCGAGAGCAATTCTAGATATGTCTTCTGCATATTCAACCGAACATCGTCAATAGCTATACGAGCAGGTCTCCGGTTGGCAAATCGGAGAAGCCGACTGAAGAGAGGCTAGGATATGTTCAGCACAACGTCATGAGCATATCTGTACATACGCTTACACTATTCGGCAGCACATTACGCCCAGAGTGCTTCGGTACCATACAACATCGGTCTGCCATCATCGTATTGCTCGGTTTCTGCCCAAGCATCTGGGACTTGACCGCCAATGCTCCGTAACCGCTCTTCGTACCTGGGTATTGAGGTGTTGTACTACATGACGAGCAGGCTACAAACACTCGGATATAACGACTCGCATGCGGGGTTTCATCAAGATCATATTCTCTTAGCCGATCGTATCACAAGATTCGCGGGGAAGTATTCCGCGAAACCCCGCAACGCTTTCACTCCCGGCGCTAAGGTCTGTGCAAGGCCCGGCCGCACGCTCGTAGCCGTGATGATGGCCCAAGGTCACCGGCAATCTCGATACGAAGGCGATGCAGATTCGCATAACTGTTGGAATTAGTTGCATGCGGCACAGCTTCAACACACCGTTCGGCAATTCCGCCCGCGTTCGATGCATGAAAGGAGGACCGTCACGCGAGTCGTTGTGCCGATGGCCACTGCTACTTCACCGTTCATGGACTAGGAGGGAGGTTTGCGACCGGTCGGCACGGCTTCTTGGACAGAACCACTCAACGTGCAATTTTCAAAATGCCATCACATCAGACCTCCGGGGTTTCCACTACGCGCCGGCCTTGAGCGTGTCACTACACGCGTATCACAATCTCATCAATTTGCACGAAGGATGCGATCAATTCCCCAGGTCGCATGGTTGACGCGGCTGCATGGTATCAAGCTCAACTCGATCCACATTTCTAGTTTTTACTTCCTCAGGCACCTATGCCCCCGTACGTTCAATCACAAATCTGTTGTTTTCTCCCGTCCAACGCTGTTCCGGGTCGTCTACCCGGCCTCGCATACCGCCGTTCGCTGTGCGACGGCCTAGAAACCTTAATCCTACGGTGTCGCCTAGATAGTCCCTCAATGCAAGAGGCTACAAGGCGCATGGAAGCCTTCGATAGCTCTGCAAATACTTCCGCAATGCAGCTGCCTGAATGAGCCCGATTGCTCAGAAGAACCTGCTATTTCCTTTTGGAAAGCGCTGCATGCATGGCGCTTGTCGCTTATTGGGCAGCGCCGTCGCACATAACGTGGGGCTTATTGCATCAGTCAGCCACAATGGCTGCAGCTGCAGCCGCATCGACATCTATCTTCGTCATCTTACTGCCGACAAGGGTTCTGTTTGATTGTTCCTTAGCGATGCTGATGGTATTTGCTGGCATTTCGCGCTGGTAACGACCCACTAACCGAAGGACCGCCGGCGACGTGTCTCCTCAAAGGCTTTACCGATCATATGACGCATCATTGTTTACACTCACAGCCTGCTCAGAGGCGCTGCATCACACCGCTACCTGTCAGATGCTATTTGGAGTGTCGCCGTGGTAGCTAGCTTCGGTGAGCTCTCAATACTGCGGCGAGACTGGTTTGTCGAAGGCAGTCATGAAAAACGTGTTCACATTGACTGGGACGTTGAAAGCAACTATGTGCTAGCGCTGGCTCCTTGGTTTCGCGGATCCCTCCAGGCTGCCATGACACGCTCAGCGCTGCTAAACGCGGATGCATTTCTGTCGCAAAAGTGGTTCGGGCACACAAGCATCCAAGCGCCTGGTCATAGGGCTGCAATTTGACCTTGCTTGAGGCGCACACCGACTAAAGAAAGGCAACACTTCCGGTGTATTGATTTGCCTGCAGTTAGTTTGGTATCGATGATCAAACAATGCCTCGTGGCATCCTGGTCACATGGGCCATTCAGGTTGAAGAGCAGCCAAACCCGCAATTTCAGATACGATCGGAATGTCACGCTGTGCCGCGACAAGTCCCGCAGCGACAGCACGATCGAAGGACGTGGATGACAGCCTGATTTTGACAGTCGACAAACAAGGACAACTCCTATGCGCCCCACCATTGTCGCCAGGGGCATAGACGTCACAGAATAGCAAATTGATGTTTTTCGAGCTGCATGTTGTCGCTAACCTCAGCCTCGAAAGGCGAGGATTGGCGAGATGAAAAAGCAACGCATACGAACGGTCCTAGTCGTGCCCATCTCGTTTGTCGGCGGGAACCCTCTCTGAACGTTGCCGCATCGGCTGCACCTCATCCGTTACGCGAGGTTTGGTAACTCAGGCACGGTCGAGCAAAGCGGACGGGGAAGACGGCACGAGACACGTTTGGCGCACGTCAAGGGTTGAGTGTGAATCACGAATAAGCAGACAGGCGGGGAAGGCGGGAATGAGCGTGGCTTATGCGCACAGATGTTTCCGCATGCGGTCATAGTCCTTCTCGGCCCGTAGTGGGCCAATGCCTCCCGTCACACCAGGCGCAGCTCAATGGGGCCTTTTGCGGTGAAGGGGGTAAAATCATCTCGTGCTTCACATGCCTGGGTGTTTGCTCACCCAATTCGTCGTATGTGTGACTCTCCATCGCTCCGGTATATATACTGACTACGCAAAAGCCACGACCATGTCCCTTGAATTACCCCTAGTATCGCGCAACGGCCGGCTTTTTGATCCCATCACTAGCACTATTCCCCGCTTCCTCGAGATGCTGGCCAAACCACACGTTCCGCCCATACCGATGAAGTCGTTTCATCTCTCATGTCTAGACCAAAATGTAGTGCGCGTTTATATACAGACTCTGTGCATCTTTCCTGTACGTTCTCCCAAATCGTTTGTTGTGTTGACAGAAATTAACGTTATCCGCAGTTTCCCGATCAGAATCTCGCCGAGGATGCCATACAGTCTCTGAGTGCTGGGCTCCGCCTCACACTCAACAAATTTCCCTTTCTCGCTGGCACTCTCACACTTGCGGACCGAGAAGCGGGTAAGCTTGCTCTCCACTACCCAGCGGAGATCACAAGCAAGCACCTGAGTCGTGTGTTTCGATCGAAGCAAATCCCGTACCATGAGAAGAATTTCCCACACACCTACGAACAGCTCAAAAGAGATGGCATGCCACCTAGTGCTTTCGAGTCATCGATGTTTGTCCCAGAAGATCTTGCCGAGTATCCTGGTATCCCAAAAGACGGCGAGGGCAAGGTAGACTTTGACAAGAGCGATGCACCAGCAATGAGAACTCAAGCCTTCTTCATACCCGGCGGTCTTGTGCTCTCGATGTATATGCATCACAGTGTCTTTGACTTCTCCGCTGTCACTCTTTTCTGGCAAACATTCGCCGAGAACGTTTCCAGCCTTTCGAAGCAGCAACTCTTCGAAGAACACAAGATCATGCGTAAGACTCCTCACTACAATTTCAACCTATGACTGACCAAAATAGACATGGAAAGCGTCGCCGACAAGCAGTCTCAGATGCGGAAAGCCGTTGACGAGCAGATCAAGCCACCACAAGGCAGTGCCAGCGCAGACTGCTACTGTGATGGCCCACCCCGGTATCTTCAAACCTTACCTAAAGAAACGAAATGTACCCAGAGGCTCTTCGTCATTCCAGCATCACGGGTACGCGAGTACAGGGAAACCTTACGCACCCAGTTTCCCGAGAACACCCCTCCGACAATGTGCAACGTCCTTGCCGCCCTGGTCTGGACGCATGTTACCCGCGCTAGAGCAAGTCGCTTGACCAAGTGCGGGTTGACAGAGACTAGCATCGGGATCGCGACGGACTTGCGAAGACGGCAACGACCTCCGGTATCCACAGACTACACAGGAAACATGGCGCTGTTCTCGCGAGGCACAATGAACGTCTCAGACCTCACAAGAGAGGACCGGTGAGTCTAGCCCCTACTACCGTATGATCGCATGTCACACTGTGTGGCGCCCTGAACCTTGCACTCCCAAATCTTGAGCAACGCGATTAAGTTTGAGAACCCCAGCTGACAAATAACGGCAGTGTAACCAAGTCGACAATCATCAACGTCATAAACACCATCAAGAGCACGATCCTCGACGTCGACGACGAATGGGTGAACCGCCACCTTACCTTCTTCAAGTCAATCGAGCAGATTACCGACACCGAGGTCGCACTGGCCTTGAAGTTCGGCTCAGACATATACATTTCGTCGTGGCTCAACTTCGGCGCTGATATCAGCTGGGGCATACCTGGTACAGATCTAGGCAAGGACTCCCTGGCCGGTCGACCCGAGTTCATCAGACGATCTTACGGTCCGGGTGATGGCGGCATGATCTTCCTTCCCCGACGGAGACAAACTGCGAACCAAGAGGAGGCGCCGTTTGAGATCCTCGTGCGACTTGCTGAAGAGGACATGACGCGTGTGCTGGAAGAGGAGGGCGGATTGAGCTCTTGGGCCGACGCGGTGATTGAATGAACGGTGAACCCCATCGTTTGTTCATTGGTATGTTGTGGTCGCTTTCTTCTGGGCGATGCGAGTTTGGTGCACCGGTACACCAATCTGTTGATGACGCTTACGGTCTTTCGTTTCGAAACGATGGTTTAGGGCATGATTATCTGGTGTTGAATTTCGGTTAACGACTTGGGTCGGGCATTTGATATCCTGTACAATTAGCTTGCATTGGGTGGTATCTCAAAATCGGGGGGCGTTTTTCTTTAGTTGGATTGGATTTCGTTAATGGTTGCTCTTCTGGTTTTTGGGTTTGGTCGTGATGGCGTATGGTAGCATGATCACGCTGGCCATTATCATGTAATACTATAATGTTTTCCGATCTGCATCGCAGTTTTAACGAGCAGCCTTGACCTAGACTTGGTGATGTGTGTTCGTTAGTCAGATGTTTCTACTCGATAGCAATGCTGCCATTCCACGGCCACCGAGCCCTGCGACCCCGCATTTCGACGCCCCGCAGCTTTGCGCCATCAACCTTCTCCGCGCGACATTTACGGCTTCTGCCAACCACACATGATCCGCGTATACCGAGGCAGTGATGCAGCTTACAACTCCGCGTTATTGCCGGCGCATTGGCATTGACGATGCGAGCTTGTCTCCAATGCCCGACGGCATGCTCAGTCGGCTTCAACAGCACTCGCCCACCTCGCTTCGAAACGCCTGCAACTGACTCTGTTGGTCAAGCAAACAATTGGTGAACAGCCAATCGCATCATGGCAGACTTCACCGATCATCTCAAACCTGCAC